CGGAGTGTCTGGACGCCTTCAACGCGACGAGCCCCCTGCGCCCTGCATGGGAACCCGTCGACGACCTCGTAGACTACGGTGGCTCTGCGGGGGGTTGGTACCTTGGCACGAACGGAACCAACGCCTCGGACGATAACACCAACTACACCACTCAAGGTAAATAAATGTTCCATCGCTAACTGGATGCTTCGGTATCACAGCACGCTTTCATTTTCTCTCACGGCGTCGAACTCAGAGACGGCTGTCTATAGGTTTCAGAAGTGTTTGCCGTCTCCATCATTAGAGCGATGATCGATAAGGGACCTCTGAAACGTCGGTAAACTTCTACCATATCTCACGACGCAACAACCCAGAACACAGCTATCCTCATCAAAGTTTATTTAAAACTCTTTAGGACAGACAACCACAATTGAATAATTACACTACTCAGTAAAAAAATAATTAAATTAAGTGATTCTTTTGTCAAGAGTACGTAAGTCGAATCGCATTATGGCTCCGGCTTTAACGAACCTCAGAGTCGATACTCGACTTTAAAAAGTTGAAACCTGTACGAAACGAGACTGGAGACACGAGTAAGGTTTAAATTTTGATTGCATGTAAGATGGGAAAATAAAAAGTTTTACGAGGCTGCCTCAAACTCCAAACGCACCTTTACTTTAATAACAGTGGCACTCTTAAAAATACCACAAAAAATAACGCAGTTCTTGACTGCACTCAGGAATCCCATCGTCTTTCATTCATATCTGTAATTAAACTGAGAGCGAAAACGTCATAGGAATATTTTAAAGGACTTCGGAACACACAGCGAAGTTCCACCGCCTTCTTGTAGTCTTACGTTGATCCAGCATGTGAGTGCTCTCACGGTGAAGAAGTTAACTGTTTTGCCGACATTTCAGAGGACAAATTGCATCCACGATCAGAGCTTCTTCAAGTGAGAAGTACTGGGAAGTAATTGTTTTACGTTCAGATAGGGGCCCCTCACATGCCTCCATCTGTCTTCCTAATTCGAAGTCTCTGATTGGCCAATTCTCGTGAACTAGCTTGTACCTCACATCCCTGAATTCAACCCTGATTATAGAGGCAGTATGTTCCTCTGATACATCGGCAACCGAGCAAGGTTCCAAGCTGTGCCTGCATCTACAAGCAGAACCAGTATAGACAATGAATCCCCCGGAACCTTGAATAAGTTCCTGGTTTTTCATCACTTAGCAACCAGCCACGAGGGCATCATATCTAGTTTTCAGACGATCCCTAGACGTTTCTTGGGTTTTAGTGCAAACGAAGTGACACCTGTCCGTCTGTGTGTCCTATCGTTCAGCCGAAGATATCGTGCTGCCATCTATCATTGGTCACACGGACTCTTCGTCTTGCAATATAATAACTCGAGATCGTCTGAACGGATTTTCATAAAATTTGGCATGCGCGTTACGCCAGTGGACGATGCTTCAAGGGTGTTGTCCGTTTCAGTCTCTTACGGCAGATGCTGAGATGCACTCGCCCTCAGGAAGAGTTACGTGCAGGTAGATTTCTACCTTCCTTGTTGCAGGGCAGGAGCAGAGTGGGGAGGTTCTGGTGCCAGTGCTGCCACCCTTCGAGCTGTGGCAGACGGTGCTCATCGCTCTGTGCCTGGCGATGTGCATCGTACTCACTGTAGGCGGAAACATCCTCGTACTGCTCGCCTTCATCGTGGACCGAACAATCCGGCAGCCTAGCAACTATTTCATTGCCTCACTAGCCGCCACTGACATGCTCATAGGTGGGTGACCTGTACACACACACAGTCCCATGTCCTCGTCTCGAAATGACGGCCATGTCCTCAGACACTGGAGTCCAGAGTCCAACATCCGTGTCCCGGGACTGGGCGACTGTGAGCTGATTCCCCAGGACAGATTTATCTTTCAGTCGCCCTGTCGTAGAAACTTCTACTGTCCGAAGTATTAAACCGGCTTCATCTTATGAGCTAATCAAGACGCAGCCCTTAAATTACAGTATTTTGTGTCATGGCACCGCGTAGTTTTATCGGATTCGGAAAAGCATACTGTCCAATCCTTCACTTCTAACCTGAAGATGGAGGCAGTATGTTACTTTAAAACTGAGATAACAACCAACAAGACTACATAACGTCATAGCACACAGAAGTCCACGTGCTGAACTCAGCCTATTGAAAAACGCGGCCTCACATTTTCGAAACACCCTGTTACTCTGAAATACGAAAAGTAAAGCTTCGACGCTGGGCTGGTTCAGTTCACCCGCGAAAACGTTCTCGAGGTCCGGTTACTTAAAGATTCATTTAAGTATAATTCTCGTGCTCTGAAGCACCGCGGAACGGGGCAGCTGCAAACTTCAGATGCATTCGGAAGTAACTCGAAATGGGATCGGATATTCTAATCGATATTTCTCGTGAATTACTGACTCTGGTCGCACAATTGAGCCCTAACCTTACTTATTTTATTTTTAGTCGTCTGTATCCCACGATACAAGACATCAAATTTTAGTGCCAAGCCTTTCACTAAAATGCAAACATGAACTGAAAAAAAAAAATACAAATAGTAGCACCACTTAAGTGTGTCGTAAATTGTACAATTCTCAAACCTTCACAGAACAATCTCATAAGTGACTTCACACTCTACACATTCTCTGTTATATATTTTGGAATGCGAAAGTTTAACAACCTCCGATCACTGTACCCTATTCTGACCCCTGCACATTCAGTTTTTATAAGATCAATTTTAATATTATCCTCCCAGTTTCATCAACGTATTATATGCCTCATTCATCTCAATTCCGACGTGCACAATAACCCAGACGTGCTCTGTTACTCAACAGGTACCGTGTCCATGCCGTTCTACACAGTGTACGTTCTTATGGGGTACTGGAACCTGGGTCCCATCCTGTGCGACCTCTGGCTGTCGGTGGACTACACGGTGTGCCTCGTGTCCCAGTACACGGTGCTTCTCATCACAATAGACCGATTCTGCTCCGTGAAGATCGCGGCCAAGTATCGGAACTGGAGGACCAAAAACAGGGTAATATGGATGGTAACTATCACCTGGATCATCCCTGCCTTACTATTCTTCATCAGCATTTTCGGCTGGGAGCACTTTGTAGGTTTCAGGGATTTACTCCCAGGCCAGTGCGCGGTGCAGTTCCTCAAGGACCCGGTGTTTAACACGGCGCTGATCATTGGTTATTACTGGACCACTCTCGTTGTCACAAAGTACTTTGTTGAGTCAGGATAAACCCAAGTCGACTGGTGCAACGGAGGCGGGAAATAAGGTGCAGACACACGGAGGACTGACGGTGATACCAGCGGGTAGCGCTGCCAACAGCGGGGACTCTGCTTCGAGCCACAAGACGTCGTCAAACAAGACGACAGCCACCACGGCGACCACCACCACCACCACAGCGGAGACCACGAGCTTCTCGGAGCGCCGCGGAATTACGTCTGTGGCAGGGACTCAGCAGATCGAGGGCGAGCGGTCCAGCAGTCCGGCCTTCGAGTCCGACGAGGAAAGTACGACTGCGGTCAGTCGGCAACAGAGCTGGAAGGGGAAGAGAACTCAGACCCTCAATACGAGCCGCGTAAATGGCACCATCCCAGTGAAGGTTCCGGAACACATTACCCCTACTACCCCAAACCCAGAGCCACTGCCACAAATCCCGGAACAGAGCCTTCTCGACACAGACAACCCTCCGGAAGAATCCAACGCCTCTGACACGTTACCCCTCCAGCCAGCTCCCGTCTTTACCCCCAGTCCGCCTTCCCTTCAGGACACGTGCAGCGCCACCCATCAAGTGGCCATCATCCCACCTCCTGAGCAATTCCAAACGACTCCCCCCATCACCGTGAACTTTTCGACAGAGAGGCCGCGCAGCCTGCTGGTTAGCACTGTGACATACGACATCCTTCTCGGGATGGACGGAGCGGATCTCCGCTATATGGACGAGAGCTCCATTATCGTGCCGTCTCCCATCTTCGAGAGCCCTCCTTCATCGCTGAGCATTGCTAACGCCTCTTCCTCCACGGCCCCACCATCCCCCGTGCACGCGATGAACTCCAACGCCGTCAGCAACACCTCCCTACTACAAGCAGCGCTCATCAGGGCTGCAGCTCAGCAGTCCTGTCACACCACTGCAAGCAACCCGTCCACCACAGTGGTGACTGTGAGCGAGCCTACCATCAACAAGGTCAACACGGAAGTCAGCATCATCGGCGAAGATCCGAAGCGGCCTGTGACGAGTGTCATAGGCAGTTCCACCCAGGAGTTGTCGGAAGACGTCACGGTGATAGAGAGGGAGGGACTGGAGAGACAGTCCGCCCTGGGCACAAACGTCACTCCCACCACAACCACCTCGAACTCACTGGGGCACCAGGCGCCCGGGCACTCGAAACCGGTGCCAGGCCAGCATCAAGACGGTAGCGCTTGTAGGAAAGACTTCGTGAAGACGATCGGCAAGAGGTTTAAAGGAAAACGGAAGAACAAGGACGCACTGACCATCGGAAGACAGAAGTCAAAATCTGAAAACCGCGCAAGGAAAGCTTTTCGCACCATTTCGTTCATTCTGGGGGCCTTCGTGGCGTGCTGGACGCCTTACCACATCCTGGCGCTGGTCGAGGGCTTCTGCGCCAACCCTCCCTGCACCAACGAGCATCTGTACATGTTCTCGTATTTCTTGTGCTACGCAAACAGTCCTATGAACCCGTTCTGCTACGCATTAGCAAACCAGCAGTTCAAGAAAACCTTCACGCGCATTCTAAAGGGAGACCTGCACATGACTTGAAGACCAAAAACAGAGAGATAATCCACTCTTAAAGTGGCTTCATCCTTTATAGATCATTTACAAACGCAGCATCCCTGTTATGTAACAAATTTCATCAACAGTTCGAAAGAAATTTCACACACACACACACAGAAATCCCGCATCCTCACGGTGCCTTAGTTAGTGTCCTCTACTCATCTATTAAAATTCACACGACCTTCATTAACTCATCCAAGACGCCGTTGGCAACACTGCTTATTAGAAATAATAGCTGATTAGTTCACAGGAATTTTCAATTGTTTGTAACAGACAACCAGCGCGGAAATATAAAACCAAAATGTCTACCTGAAAAAATTAGATAGCTTAGTACTGTCGTCTGCAATGTCACCCTGAAACATTTCCACCCCACTTTTGAGGATATCACGTGGAAGAGCGAAGACTTTACGCTCGGTAGATGATCTGATGTCCTCCGAAGTGTCTGAATTCCCGGAGGAAACCAAATGGCTTCAATACTAATGTGTCAGAAAATTTCCTTCATTCTTTAATCACTTGTTGCTGAGAAAATTAAGTTTAAGCTTTGTAGTTACATTTCGGAACACTGTATGTCTAGTGAGCTAGTGTGCTACGTGCTCACTGAACATAATCGACAAATGAATTCCTTTGACTCTACCTGCAGACTGTCTTTACGTTCGCTTTGAATATCCTACAGCGAAAGATAAATGAGATTCATTCAACAGCTCCCCTAGTTCAACACAGGATATACGAAGTTCAAAACAATGCTGGTAACTTGTGGGACCTAATGACAGTGTGTTCGTGTTTAAGTCTGTGTGTACGTGAGTGTGTGTTTCTCGCTTAGTAGCATGAAAGTTTAAATAGAAACATGTCTATGTACTTCTATAGAGGATCCATAGGGCCTAAAAGTTATTGATGTTACATACGTGTGCGATATAGAACTTCATATGTTTTAACATGAAGTATCACAGTAAGAAACATATTCTACTTTATGTAAACCAACCAGTGCGTCGGTAAATTTTAAGGATGCTTCGTGTCGATTGAACCCAAAGGACAGAAACACTAAGATGTCGCGAGATGTGGGCGATTTCGTCCATGGGGAATGTACAAATAATAAACAAATCCCCAACTGAACCCTCTAAAACCAAATAGTAGTTATTTCAATATTCCAAATCGTATATTATTTGTAAACATCTTTGCTCTGTTCTTAAGAGCGATGGTTTCGTTGTTACGAAACCATCGCATTTGGAATTGTAACATTGCTAAGCTTTCTGTCAATTTACTTTTAACCATGCTTGTACTCCAAGAAAGACCTCGTCACAAACACCACAAAGGAGGTTGTAAAAATGTAAATAATTATTTTAGTAATTTAGATATTAGACAGAGGAAGATCCGATGCTGTGGAATATGTCCCTTAATCAGAGACTGGTTCTAGTCACTTAAGTGTAAGGAGAACGCAACCTGTGTTACGTGAGCCACGAGTTGTCTACGTGGACGCGAAACAAAATGTTTCTGGAATTTTGTAACGTATGCAATAAGTTAATTTGTGTTAATTACATAACAATTTTAGTTTTGATTTTTAAGTTACAATTAATTAACTTGCATTAAATTAGCTCGTTAAAATTGATTTTCCTATGAAACGCTAGAGCGTTAACGAGGAAAATACGAAATGGTAGCGCATTACATTTCACACTCTACGCTTGAAATAAATTTGATTTATCGCCCTGATGATGGAGGTAGCTTGGACCTCTGAAACGCTGGTAAACATCTACAAGACCACGTGGCCCTACTATCTAGAAGAGCACCATCTTCCTACTCACCGCCTTCAGAACCTCAGATCCTAAATTTATGTTTCGTCAATATTAATCTTCACAGATATTCTTGAATGTTATATTTTAAGAATTTAAAGTTTACTAAAAGAAATTATATGTTTGAAAGAATGCCCGTACAATATTTGACACTGAGGAATGGTTTCCGAAATATTATTCCCAAACTGTAGGATATTTTACAGTCTACTATAATATGGTTAAAATATTATTTAATAAGCTAAACCTAAGGTGGTACACACGTATATTCGGCTAAAAGTAATTATACTCCACACGACCATCCATTTTCGAATGAAATTTAATTTGTATCTTTACGAAAAGTGTTGTTATAATGAAACATGGTGAGTTATTTTTTAAATTTAACGTTAATAATGGCATTCTGGTCTTTGATACAGATTATGAAATAAGAGCCTTAGTCTTTGAAGCATAATTTTGAAGGAAATAAGAATTGGATTTAAAATTTATATTCCACAACATCACAACTTCCTTTAATCATAGTGGTGTGTTTATAATTATAAAATTAAAAGAAAATGATGTGCGCTGGCGATAATGCTTTATAAAGCTGTTTCTTATTTATATTAGGTTTCGGTTTGTAACTGAAAACATATTTCTAAGTGTCCTCGTATCCAAGGAGTTGTACATAAGTCGCTCATTCTGTCACAGAATTTTTTTAATTCTATGACATTCGAAGAAAATCCAAATTCTTCGTTCACTGGACACACAGAAATTGTTGCCAAAGAAAACCACAAGATGGAGGCAGTTCGCTGACTTAGTGAGCCCTAAGTCAGCGTCCTCCTTACATCTGCTAGAAAGTAGTTAATAGTATCGATATGTGTGATCTTCAGTTCGATATATCGTGTAATAGAGCATGTTCCTTGCGTCTAAATTGCCCTCTGCAAGGGACATATAATTATTATTATTAAATTAAAATAATTCCGTAATATTATCAATGACAATTAATCTATATACCGATGTCTGTGTTTTATAAAACCCACACAAATCTGTATAGAATGTGAATTTTTGCTAATTATTTAAAGATAATTCTTTGGTGTTCGGTAAAATACGATTAAGACAATAGAAACTACTCTGATTTTAAGTTCACTTACCGAGCAACAAGGAATTCCCTTTTTTTTACTACAAACATGAAAATGTCCAAGTCAATTTAACAGGTACGTCAGTTATTTCAAAATAAATAATTGCATATTTCAAAGAATTTGCGGTACCAACGTTAAAACGTAAAAGTTTAAAAGAGCTGTAAGGTCTGAGAAGTGAATATACACCGCAGATGAAGCAAAGGATCGGCAGTGGATGAAAGGACAAAGTGTTGACCGGCAATTAAGTTCAGACGTCGGACACTCACGTCCGGCAAAAGTCGAACCTTTGTTTCTTATTTCCACGTTATCAATATATTTTCGTACTTATCATAAACGTGGAGAATTTCTTAGAATGTCTAATGTCGTATATAAGAATGGCAAACAGTTACAACACTAAGTTAGACTAGTTCGTGTGTCAAAGCTGGGAACATCAGAACAACAACATCCTATCAACTTGTTTTTCCAACATTCCGTACAAACCGTAGAAATCCAATTATATAACATTCTAAAGTAGGATTAGAATAATTAGATTTAATTAAATTATTGGTAAGATAAATTTTAGCAAATTATGTGATAAGGTACGTGACACTTACCAGGGCGAGAAGCCGTGAGTTCTTGTGGTTAATGCAACATTCTGCTTGTCTTAATTTCCTTCCCTGGTAAAACCCATGTACTCTCTCGCACGATTTATCTGAAATATATGTAGAAGTAACAAGTTATGTATCATCTGAATGCAAAAATCAGCTTTATGGTTGTAATACCTCAACAAGCTTGGACCATTTCCTGATCATTAGATGTCCTCTAGCACAGATAACATCCCTGTTACACATATCATTTTGCAATAATTGTGTATTCCTGTATTCTCGCCCTAAATCTCGAGTTACTGAACTTGACAAAATGTCTAGGATCGAGAAATGAAAATTCAGATGGGAAATCTGCCCCCCCCCCCCAACAACAACAACAACGCCGTTCGTGAAAAAGCGAACGGATCCTTGCATGCCGTGTTGTGATGTCTCGCCTTAGCGACGCAGACTAGAATTTTAACTTGTCACTAGTTTCACAAATACTTGTAGGATAATAAGAATTTAATTAAAATGTATCACCGAAGCTTTCTTTCAAGTTTAGATTTCCTCTAAACTTTTACATTCTATTTGAAATATTTTAAATCCACAATAATGACACTTAAAACACATTTTAAATGCAAGTGATTTTCTTAGTGTAAGAACCAGCATCTCATCAGATTTTATGACGCGGAATAAGAGAAGTTCTTAGTCCACAAATGAGTTCAGGCCAATTTCATAAATGGGCCGTGTTCTTCATCGGAGAAGATCCGACACGAAACGTCGCTTTCTCGTGTAAAAATTCGCAATAACGAAAGAAACGAGATTATGAGAAAAACATTATTCTCAGGCACTTTTCCTTAAACATTGGCCTTCGGTAAAAAAAAAAAATTTAACAAGATTTAAAATCAGGAGTTTTTTTCCCCTGTGAATAATTTTTTTTATTTTATTTCCTATTTATAACTACAATCAAACGAAATTTATACAGTTTCGTATATTCACACCTCCGTATCTCAGATTTTGACGTTCAAAATTCTACACTGAATTAATAATAATCGTATTTTCAGATTGACAGTTAAAGGCCTACGTGTGTTTAAATTGTTATTTATTTAACTTAAAAATGACTTTCAGCTTCTCAGATCATTAATTTCTTCAAGTTTCGTGTAATATTAAATTACTTTTTCCTACTTACAGTGAACATTAAGGAAATCAGGCAATTGACTTCAAAGCATTGCGACGTATGTACTAAGAACAGGATTTTACATAAAATTTGATTTAGTAAATCAGTTAAAATTTCTAAACAGCCAAACGAGAATTTCATGATGACGGAATGTAACATCGCATTTTAATATAATGGATTACTACGTTTCAAGATCCGCCATAATTACATCGGACATTATCCGATTATCTGACAGCTATTCTTACAAACGAAACTCTAGACGGATGACAATTTAAGTTACATCCGTACATGTCTTAGCTATTATTCTTAACCACTGAGAAATAATGCATCTTAATATGTGGCTGTGAGACCAAACTGAATTCAATGTTTCCTTCAATGCACTTGATTGAATGAATATAAGTTATAAAGACATCTATTTGAAAAATTGCAGAAAAACTTACTTGTAGGCAACCCACCTCAGTATCTCCTTCTTCCCAATGCTACCAACAAATAAACACAAAATACCGAAGACAATACAGACATTTACCTGTCCACTTAAAAGACAATCCTTGCACGGGAAGATAATTTTACAAAGTGCGGACTGTTGTGTTTATAAGTTTCTAGTCAGGATTGTGTAGAACAAAACACCTTCTGCTTTTTATCAATCAAATAAAGTAATAAAATAATTTAGAAACACTGTGAATAATTACGGCTTCAGTTGTGCATGTATTTGTAACAATCCTACACTGCTCATGACATGTGTTGGCTAAGTGTTATAAGGAATCAAAACACAGATGATAATAAAATGAATACAATCTTAGTTTTAATACATTATTTTTGTTATAGAATATATTAATTCCACGCTTTAACAGAATCCTCGCCCGTTCTTTGTTCTTAAACCCCCACAGCGTGGCGTGTCGGCTCCCAGTTGCTATGGAAAAGCAATACCAGATTCACCATTCGTTCAGATTGGACCGGATACTTCTGCAAGTATCCGGTAAAGAATTCTCTTTTTTTCTACACTTATGTAAATTTCTGAGGAAGAATGGAGCACCAGGTGTTCAACAGAACGACTTAAAATTAAGATCATTTATGTAACGCTTCACAAAGCCAAGTAACTGGTTCAATTCGTTCAGTGAAATGATGCAGAAATCGGTTATGAAAATTAATTCTGTCGGTCTGTCTGTTACTAAAATTATCCTCGAAATCTGTCTTATCTCACAAACAGATAACAGACGTAAAGTAAGTCCAATTTATACATTTTAAAACTACGTTTATCGTGTCCGTCCTCAAGTAACAACGTCCAAACTGGGGGTGAGTGACAAATTTCGCTCCAAAATCAACGTCACTGCCAGTTAGTCGATGTCTGAAGCAGCCGTTTTGGACCTAATAACAACATTTCACTGGTTAGTAACCGTAGAAAGCAGCTAGGCTGACAGGAATAAATTATTTGCTCTGGTTATTTTAAAACTTGGAAACTGCAATATACCAGTTATTGAATTCCTATTAATTTAATTATTTTTCAAATTGAAAAGCCACGCATAAATCTAATTCCATAGACGTTCACACGGCGTTCTTAAATAATAAATAATAACAAATACGTAATTAAATACACATTAGAGTATATGGCCACTCACCCTTTCTTCCTTTCTTAAGTTTGTAGACCCCTACAGCCAGTTGAACGCGACCAGCGCTCAAATTCACTGCTTAAAATAACCGTCTTGCATAAATAACGTTCCCTGGAATCACTGTTATTTAAAATAACGGTATCTCTCTTCTCCAAAACTAAACTGCGGTGTCAATCTGCGTGGTATATCTACACTGAAACTTGTATGGTTATTTTAGCGTCTCTCATTTTAATTGAACGACTAAATTTAAGTTTTACGCAGATTTGTAAAAAAAAACTGATGAAGAAATTATCGAGTATACGTTCCGCGCATTTATTGAACTTGATAGAGTTTCAACTCACATATTTTAATAATTTTGACAGATTCCGATTAATCTTTCTATTCGTAACTTCTGTCACATGAGTAACGCATTGCGTCGTCTGGTCCCGTTTACTTCATTCGTTTCAAAGCCAGAATTTCACAAGGCCAAAAAGAGATGTCTCTGCCCGCATTTCGCTATGTACGAACCTGGTAGAAAAATTCCTTCGCCGTGACCTGCAAAAATTTTCATGGTAACACGACACTCTCAAAACAGACACGTAATATACTTCGGAACCCTAAGCATGTCACATGTTACTTACAAACCCTGTCTTTCCCTTCGGATTACCTCAGTGTATGCTCCGAACGTAAAATGCAAGTGATTTTTCACACTGGCTATCGATGGTAAGTGAGGGGCAGTTTCAAGGGGTGAGTCCACTCGCCTGCTTTTAGCTGCCGGCACACACAGGAAATCTCCCACGCCGTGACGTCACAGAGGCTGTGATTGATGACGACATAGTATTTTTTTTTAATCCTTTGCATCACCCCCCCTCCACCATCAGAAGGAAACTATCATCCACGTCGAACCTCACCCCCCGGAACAAACCTATCAGCTGCTTTCCAACTCAATTCACTTGCCTTCTCCAGAGGAACCACCCTCCATCCCTTACACACACATTTGTGATTTATCCAAGAATACACACAGCAAGGCATAGACTTGCACTGGGGCAATCCGAGGCTTGAACTCCGACCCGGTCACTGTCTATCGTGGCAGATCTTACGTGATTTTCCCTTCGTCTGTTCAGGCGAATGTCAAGATAATACGACAAGTTCATCGGTACTATCCCTCATCATCATCCGACGACGACATGAAACCTCTGCAGATGAAATAACGTTGTTAAAATAATTAATCGCATATGTGGCATTTCGTCAGTAAAGTTTTCTGTTCAACCTTCATTGTCGATTGAACTTAAAAATGAATAGCCACGGCAGTTGGAACAGCGTCGTTGTAACATGAAATCTAAAACGACGTTAATGAAATTATTCGCTAAAAAGATTGAAAATGTTGGTACTCCACGCGCAGATCCGGACGGCTACACCCAGTGTGATAAAGATGTCACTGTCCTCATGACAGTCTTCGTCAATGTCTGATTATCCCTCAATGTCTCCTTGAAAGTACGTAGATCGAAGCAATAACCATCCCGAGTACGTCTTTACGATGTGACTTTGACCGGCGGCGTCAGATTAAGGAGCAGGTCGTAAGGGTTTTATGACAAATCAGTTCGCTGTCAGCTGGTTTACCGGTTCCTCGTTACGCCTTAACAAAATTTATTACTGAGTTTAAATTTGAAGAACACGCATGTCCAATGGGCACTTACGAAGTATTATTCTTATTCCCTTCCACGAGGATTACATAACAGAATCCTTCCATCTTTCGAAGGGTCGGCCAAACCATCTCTTTCCTTTTGGGTGTATCTTAAAACTAAGCGGCTCTAATGCTCGAACAGGAGTTCCGAAAGGTTTTGGGCGAGTACTTCTCCGTCTGTCTGAACGTGCTATCCCCGCGGTCTGGAAGCATTATCCGCGGAGGTTTCAAAATGGCACCTGCCGAATATGAATCACAATGGACGCTCGACGTCCCAGCCAACACCCTGTATGCATTTCTCATTTTCTACGCGTGCTCTCATCCGGCGCAGAGAACAAACTGTGGAGATCTTCGTATTCATGTCTTCAACTGTTTCTGGTCAAAATATTCCTCTCAAAAACGCATTGCTAAGCAAGTCTTCTTAATTATACCTTTCTACCCTTCGCTAGTGTTGTCTTGCATTCTTCCTTTCTCCCATGATTCATTCTCCACTGTCACTTCCACGGACGACTCACAAAAAAAAATGATGTGAAAATCAATATGGCGGAGGGGGCAACCCCCCCCCCCCTCTCCCAGGGGCAGTTTCAAGGGGTGAGTCCACTCGCCTGCTTTTAGCTGCCGGCACACACAGGAAATCTCCCACGCCGTGACGTCACAGAGGCTGTGATTGATGACGACATAGTATTTTTTTTTAATCCTTTGCATCACCCCCCCTCCACCATCAGAAGGAAACTATCATCCACGTCGAACCTCACCCCCCGGAACAAACCTATCAGCTGCTTTCCAACTCAATTCACTTGCCTTCTCCAGAGGAACCACCCTCCATCCCTTACACACACATTTGTGATTTATCCAAGAATACACACAGCAAGGCATAGACTTGCACTGGGGCAATCCGAGGCTTGAACTCCGACCCGGTCACTGTCTATCGTGGCAGATCTTACGTGATTTTCCCTTCGTCTGTTCAGGCGAATGTCAAGATAATACGACAAGTTCATCGGTACTATCCCTCATCATCATCCGACGACGACATGAAACCTCTGCAGATGAAATAACGTTGTTAAAATAATTAATCGCATATGTGGCATTTCGTCAGTAAAGTTTTCTGTTCAACCTTCATTGTCGATTGAACTTAAAAATGAATAGCCACGGCAGTTGGAACAGCGTCGTTGTAACATGAAATCTAAAACGACGTTAATGAAATTATTCGCTAAAAAGATTGAAAATGTTGGTACTCCACGCGCAGATCCGGACGGCTACACCCAGTGTGATAAAGATGTCACTGTCCTCATGACAGTCTTCGTCAATGTCTGATTATCCCTCAATGTCTCCTTGAAAGTACGTAGATCGAAGCAATAACCATCCCGAGTACGTCTTTACGATGTGACTTTGACCGGCGGCGTCAGATTAAGGAGCAGGTCGTAAGGGTTTTATGACAAATCAGTTCGCTGTCAGCTGGTTTACCGGTTCCTCGTTACGCCTTAACAAAATTTATTACTGAGTTTAAATTTGAAGAACACGCATGTCCAATGGGCACTTACGAAGTATTATTCTTATTCCCTTCCACGAGGATTACATAACAGAATCCTTCCATCTTTCGAAGGGTCGGCCAAACCATCTCTTTCCTTTTGGGTGTATCTTAAAACTAAGCGGCTCTAATGCTCGAACAGGAGTTCCGAAAGGTTTTGGGCGAGTACTTCTCCGTCTGTCTGAACGTGCTATCCCCGCGGTCTGGAAGCATTATCCGCGGAGGTTTCAAAATGGCACCTGCCGAATATGAATCACAATGGACGCTCGACGTCCCAGCCAACACCCTGTATGCATTTCTCATTTTCTACGCGTGCTCTCATCCGGCGCAGAGAACAAACTGTGGAGATCTTCGTATTCATGTCTTCAACTGTTTCTGGTCAAAATATTCCTCTCAAAAACGCATTGCTAAGCAAGTCTTCTTAATTATACCTTTCTACCCTTCGCTAGTGTTGTCTTGCATTCTTCCTTTCTCCCATGATTCATTCTCCACTGTCACTTCCACGGACGACTCACAAAAAAAAATGATGTGAAAATCAATATGGCGGAGGAGGC